ATTTTGTGGTTTATGGTRGAAAACAAAGAGGTCTTTGGAAGTAGGAAGGAAAAATAACTGGGAGGAATCACTGCAATATAAATCTTACTATTATCATGTCCTTTGGTGAAGTTCTAAAATGACTGGCTGCAGAAGGGTCAGAGTAGGAGAACCAACGGACTGGAATGATTCGTAAGGTTTAGTCCCTATTTTTCTGCATTATGCTCTGGAGCAGTGGATTCCAAGAGAATCTCCATGTATGTATGATATGTCAAAGTACATTCTATTTGTATATAACTAAAAAGAACAAATTAAAAAAAAGTACTGCCACCTTGGTAGCCATATGCCAAACCAACTAAATGAAAATCCTTGGGAAGCTCTAGCACAGGTTTGCCTCTTTAGGCCAGAGACCATTGCGGGAGTCCAGGCCCAGCCCAGATCTGCCCACATCAACCTACTCGGGACCCAGGCTCACAGTAGGCCTGGGTCCATCCTGCCACTAGCAGACACCTGCCTGAGCTCAGGCTTTGGCACAGAACAGACTCTTTAGACCAGCAAACCACTGCGGGAGCCCAGGCCTGGCCCAGATCTGCCCACCAACATACATGGGACCCAGGACCAGGGTAGGTCGAGTTTGCCATCCACTCCYACCTGGGAGCCCAAACCCAACCCACTTCTATCTTGGGACACTGTAGACATCTCCATAGCCTTCCCCACGCAGAAGTCCCTACCTTTTTGAAAACAGACAGGGCCTAGAATCAACTGCATCTCAGAACAGGCAACCCAAAGACAGTGTAAGGCCCACCCTTTCAACCCCATCTTTGTAAGACTTTGTATCCATCTTAGGGTACCTCCACTATTATCTCGAGTTACCTGGGTTACTACTGCAACCATCTTTAGTAGCAGTAGCATACACTGAGGGACACCAGCAAGGTGTGGAAGCCTAACATCAAGGTGAGGTACAGACAATCTGCATGGGTAATACAAAAATATAAGGTAGAAACTATAATATCTCAGATTCACACTGCAAGAAAGGAAGACACACAGACAACATGAAAAAACAAGGGAGGAAAGTGCTCTCAAAAAACCAGGATACTACAATAACAGAAACCATGGGCAGCAAAGTTGATGAAATGTCAGAGAAGGAGTTCAGAAGGTTCATAATTAAAATGATCTGTGAATTGAAGAATGACCTAAATGAGCAAATACAGGCAAAAATTGATCACTCCAACAAAGAGATAAGAGAACAAACACAGGTAGCAAAAATTACTTCAAGAAAGAGACAGAGACTCTGAAAAAAAAAGTCAGAAATCTGTGAAATGAAGGAAACAATAAACCAAATAAAAAACTAAATAGAAAGCATAACCAACAGACTAGATCACTTGGAAGAAAGAATGTTAGATAATGTAGACAAAGTATACAATCTGGAGAGTAAAGTAGGTAACACAGTGAAGATAGTTAGAAACCATGAACAGAATATCCAAGAATTATGAGACAGCATCAAAAGACCAAATCTAAGAGTTACTGGGATAGAGAAAGGCACAGAGTTTCAAACCAAAGGAATGTACAATCTCTTCAATGAGATAATATCAGAAAATTTCCCAAGCATGAAGAATGAATTGGAAAACCAAATACTGGAGGCTTATAGGACACCAAATGTACGAAATTACAACAGATCTACACCAAGACACATTATAATAAAAATTCCTAGCATACAGAAAAAGGATAGAATCTTAAAAGTTGCAAGAGAGAGCAATCAGATCACGTACAGAGGAAGACCAATTTGTATCTCAGCAGATTTTTCAACCCAGACCCTTAAAGCCAGGAGATCATGGAACAATATATACCAAGCTCTGAAAGAAAATAGATGCCAACCAAGAATCTTATATCCAGCAAAATTAAGCTTTAGAATTGATGATGAAATAAAAACCTTATAGAACATCCTCGGCAAAATATTCCATGAAGAGGAAATGAAAAACAATGATGAAAATCAGCAGAGGGAGGTATTACACTAAAGGAAAAACTAATCAGAGGAGAAATCAAGTTAAGTTAAATACCAAAAATAAACAAAAATGGCTAGGAATACAAATCAAATAATAACTCTGAATGTTAATAGCCTAAACTCACCAATCAATCAAAAGACATAGACCAGCAGACTGGATTAAAAAAAAAAAAAGACCCAATAATTTGCTGCTTCCAAGAGACTCATCTCATAGGAAAAGACAAACAGAGACTGAAGGTAAAAGATTGGGAAAAATCATACCACTCACATGTACTGTGGAAGCAAGCAGGAGTTTCCATCCTCATATCAAATAAAGTAGACTTCAAGCTAAAGTTAATCAAAAGGGATAGAGAAGGACACTACATACTGCTCAAAGGAATCATATATCAACAGGACTTAACAATTATAAATACATATGCCCCAAACAATGAAGCATCTATGCTCATCAAACAAACTCTTCTCAAGTTCAATAGTCAAACAGACCACAACACAATAATTTTGGGTGACTTTAACACACCTCTTTCACCACTGGATAGATCTTGCAAACAAAAGCAGAACAAAGATTCAATAACAGAATCAATAACTTAGACTTAACTGACATATATAGAATATTTCATCCTTCAACAAGCGAATACACTTTCTTCTCAGCAGCACATAGATACTTCTCTAAAATAGACTATATTATGCCACAAAGCAACTCAGCAAATATAAAAAAAAGTTAAGGTACTATCCTGCATTCTATCAGATCATAATGGAATGAAATTAGAAATCAATGATAAAATAAGAAATAAAAGATACTCCAACACTTGGAGACTAAATAATATGCTACTGAATGAACAATGGGTTCAGAAAACATTCAGAAGGAGATTAAAAAATTTTTAGAGGTGAATGAGAAGACAGACACAACACATCAAAATCTCTAGGACACTATGAAGGTAGTTCTAAGAGGAAAGTTCACTGCATGGAGTTCATTCCTTCAAAGAACAAAAAGTCAACAGATAAATGATTTAACATTACATTTCAAATCCCTAGAAACAGAAGAACAAATCTGCACCAAAAGCAGAAGACAGGAAATAATTAAAATTAGAGCTGAAATCAATGAAATTGAAGCAAAAGAAACAATTAAAAAAATTGACAAAACAAAAAGTTGGTTCTTTGAAAAAACAAACAAAATTAGCAGACCCTTAGCCATGCTAATGAACAAAAGGAGGGAGAAAACTCAAATTACTAATGTCCATGAAGAAAAAAAAAATCACAACAGACACTACAGAAATACAGAAGATAATTATAAATTATTTTGAAAACTTGTACTCCAATAAAATTTGAAAATACTGAAGGCATCAAGAATGCTTGGCGTTGACAATGAAAAAATAGGACATGGGTATCAATTATTTAAGGCTCCCCAGGCAAATATAATCAGCCCTCAAATTTGAGCAAAAGTCACTGATTAGAAGTATCTAAGGTAGTTTAACATTTTTTCCCTATGTGTTTCTGGTAAGTTCTGAGAACTTTGGAATACTTTTTTTCAAAAGATGCTATCCAATTAGATCTAAAGAAAAAATAAATCACTAGAAAATGTATGCTGTTATTCTTTCCTAAATAAGCAGGGCAAAACAAAAAAGAAAAGTGTAATTCAAGAGGACTCTAATATCTCTTCTGATGAGTCTTCAGTCACTTCACCAATTTGTCCAGCATAGTAATTATTACATTGTCTGCAGGAAGTTGAATGACAAGTCCTTTAAAAAAGGAAGGAAACAGGGGCTGGGGTTGTGGTTCAGCGGTAGAGCGCTCACCTTGCATGTGCAAGGCCCTGGGTTTGATCCTCAATACCACATAAAAATAAATAAATAAAATAAAGGAATTGTGTCCAACTACAGAAAATAAATATTTAAAAAAGGAAGAAAACAAAGAATAACTTCCCTGATCTTCATTTTTCCTCAGTTAAACTTCATGTTAGTGTAATATTCACTCCCTGATAAATCCTGAAGGAATCATAAACTTCAGTGTTTCCACACTGTATATATCTAGTCAAACTTTATCAAACTTTTACTTTTAGCACAGTTATTCCTTTTATTAGGATGCATGGTTCTGTGATAGGTATAAGACAGAATACCTAAAAAAATCTACTGACTTTCTTCATCACTAAGAAGGATGCAGAAAAGTTCCACTTTGACCATATTATTTGACTTAAACCCTCTTTTTGGCATTTAATCAGTCAATCTTAAGTATAGGCCAATAAGAGGATGATTACTGGCATCCCTGAGTTTGTGTGTTAATAATTTTGAAATTGGATCGTTTCCACAATTCATGAGTAACAAAATCAGTAACTACTAGACAAATCATGTCAGACTTATTATTACCCACTCACTTTCAAATATAAACATCCTAGAAAAAATTAAATAAAATGACCGTATGTGCATGTTTTATCAACCAGAACTTCACAATTGATATAAATTCTCTAGTCTCCCTTTCTTTATAGTTCTAAGTACCTCAAGTCAGTTCTACTCAATACAATACTGTTACCCACTTTTATTGTTCACTGTACTCATCTTTCCTTCTCATAGGCAAGTTCTTCCCTGAGGGGGGGCATTATGCTTCTTTTGCCCACAGTGCCTAGCACAGGGATGGTAATCTGATACATATTTACTATTCCTCTAAAATCAACAATGTTACTGGTTTTGTGTCATAGACAAAATTTTCCTTCTGGGAAGGGTTTGTGGCTGAGTGATGGGGCGCTTGCCTAGCACATGTGAGGCCCTAGGTTCGATCCTCAGCACCACATACAAATAAATAAAATAAATATATAAAAAATATATTTTTAAAAACTTTCCTTCTTAATTTTACATTATTCTTATCTAAAGTGAATATACCAAGATTTATACAAGTAAGGAGTTGCATTAAATAGACAACAAGAAGTAATGTTTAGATGAGAAGAAAACATGYCTTAGTCTAATGGATTCTGTAGTAATCAATCAAGTAAAAATAACTCAGAAGGAAAAATTAAAATAATAACACTAACCTGAAAGTTCGAATAAGATTTTTAAGTTGAGTATAAATATCTCCTAATGTAATCTGAAGAGGACCCAAAAGTCCAGGCAATCTGAAATGTAAAAAAAAAAGTTACATTTCTTTTATAATTTAATTTAATTATATAGAAACATACATTGGGTCATGTCTAACTCTGGATCTGCCGAAGGCAATAATGGAACTTAGGTGGAAGTGGTCATGATTTTAAACAGTTAAACTAGATTATGACTGGTAAGAAGTCAAAAGAAAACATTTCATAGTAACTCTATGCTCTACTTTGTAGTCTATGCTATAGTGTAAAGCACTAAAATGCAAAATCATTTTGGCCATCTGTATTTTGTCCTTAGTTTTTCTTACCCGAAGAGCAATTTGGCAATATTTCTTAACATTTTAATTGTGAATATTCTTTGAGTCAATAGTTTTATTATGACAAAAATTTATCCTAAGGAAATAATCAAATAAAAAAATGCTTGCTATAGAAATAATTTTAGTAGTGAAAAACCAGAAACAAGGTGATTGATTAAATAAATTATGATATAYACATTTAATAAATTGTAACAAAACCCTGAAAATAATGTCAATCTATTGTTTTTTTTAAAAAAAATATTTATTTATTTATTTTGAGATAGGGTCTAAGCTGCCCAGGCTGACCTCAGACTTGCCATCCTACTGATTCAGCCTCCTGAGTAGTTAGAATAATAGGTGTGCACCACTGTACCTGGCTGTAGTGGTGTTTTACACCACTATGCTCTGTTTTTGAAAATGTGGAAAGATAAGATAAATGTTAAATTAAAAATGCATTCATAGTATTATCCCATTTTTATAAAAACATGTAATGCTTCTATATATAATACCTATTAAAYATCAAACATTTCATTCTTTCTATGTTCCTACAACAGAGAAACCAAAGGGAATGAACATACATACACCATACATATAATATATATAAACATCAAAATATTAATAAAGGTTATCACCAAGTGGTGGGATTACAGGTGATTTGACTTTCATTTCCTCCTTTATACTATTTCTGTATYGCTAACTATTCTCCAACAAGCACTATCTTTTCAAAAAAGAATTATRAAAGTTTCAAAAATGTTCCAGAATAGAACAGTAATAATAACCTCATTATCTATTTCCAGATTCAACATTTCAATATTTTCCTATATTGGTTTCATTTTCCTTCCTTTTTTTTATAGTAATATTTTAAAGTAAACCAAATTCCTGACATCATGTCATTGGATTTCTATTTCTATTTGTTTCTCTAAACACAAACATAACTTCTTTGTATTTAAAATTATCATACTCAACCAAATAATTGCTTTATAACATCTAATATCCAGTACAAATTTATTTCCCTCTGGTTATTAAAAATGTCTTTTTACAATTGGTTTGTTCAAATCAGAGATCAAAAAAGGTGTTACTTTTATAATGAGAAAATGACAAACTGCTTTCATAAACTTGTAAATGACCTCAAAAACCCATGCCACCATAATTAGTTTTGTTTTCAATGCTCTTTGTGCTTTCTCTTAAGTGATTCCATCCCTTCTCAATTCAATTCTTGTGCCAGTATCAGTAATATGGATTTCTAGCAAAGTTCTTTCTGGCATCCTCTGTTTTAGCCAAAACCCAGGATGCGKAGACTGCTTCGATGACATGTCTGTATGGTCTCAAATTTAAAACTGTATATTCTAAAGTCTAGAAAACTATTTTTACATAAATTCTTATCTACTAAATACACAACAGTACGGATAATCTAACCCTACTTTCAAAATCTTTGTAACTAAAGTCTAATATCTTCTGTATTGTGAATAAGGTAGTCTTTTATACTGCTTTCTATATTAATATTTAATAGAAGCAAATAAAGAAGTATGAAGATCATATAAAAGGCAAAACTATTAATGGATTTATTGTATATGAAGGGCCTACCCACAGCAGATACTGCATAAATATTAAACATTTATTTATTTAAAAAAATTTTTTTAGATGTTGATGGACCTTTATTTTATTTATTTATATGTGGTGCTGAGAATTGAACCCAGTACCTCACATGTGCTAGGCAAGCACACTACTACTGAGCTACAATCCCAGCCCCTAAACATTTATTTAAAATGTAAAAATTATAGTAGTTCCTCTTGATTCTGTTTTTTGTACATTACCAAGTCACGATACAAAGCAAATAAAAAAGGATTTCAAGGGTGGTTTGAGAAGTACATACTTTAAAGCAAAATTATCTTACTTTCCATTATATCACAAGTAAACATTTTATATCTTAATTGCTCAAAACATTATGACATTTTTCTTATTTTCAAACTACTACAAAATTAAGACTTCTCTTTATTTACAAGTCCTGAAACAATGATTGACACACTTTCCCATGTTTTCTGCTAAAAAAAAAAAAAAAAAAAAAAAAGTGCAGGCTGAAAAGTTCAAGACAGCCCTCACATCTCTGGAAAAAAAGATATTCAAGCCCCCTTTCACTGAGAAACCAAAATAGCAATTTTTGTGTCATTTATGATTGGGCTAATTATAAGAACAATCATTTCTGCTACAGGAAGCTTAAAGTGCAGAGTTGAGCTAAACAAAAAACGTTGCTGAGTGTGAAATGATTCTATGAATAYGTAGGTAGAGTGAGTTAACAGACCTTTAAAACTTTAACAACCTCTTATTCACATATAAAACTAAGATGACACATTTACCACAAATCAGTATTTTTTTTTTAATATTTATTTTTTAGTTCTCGGCGGACACAACATCTTTTGTTGGTATGTGGTGCTGGGTTCCGCTTGAGCCACATCCCCAGCCCACACAAATCAGTATTTAAATGATCTAGCTTTGATAGTTTTCCCCTGACTTCACTGGATTATTAAGAGGGAGTGAGGTAGTTTAGAATCTCAACCTTCCTCTTTATGGTGGTGGTCTGTCTTCAACACAAAATTTAGTATCTCTGTGATACAGTAGCTTAACAATATAAAAATTTCAAGTGCAGACATTCATGTAAACTTTTCTTACTATTTTTCGAAATGTTTAAAATTAGGACTGGGGTTGTGGCTCAGTGGTAGAGCGCTTGCCTAGCACGTGTGAGGCTCTGGGTTCAATTCTCAGCACCRTATATAAATAAAATAAAGACCTATTGACAACTAAAAAAATATTAAAAGAAAAAAATTTTTAATGTTTAAAATTGAAGGGTAACATTTGCAAATTATGAAATCATAATATTGTTAATTTTAAAATATTACAAACTGGGATGACAATTACATACTTACACTTTGCTCAATTTTTCAAGAACGATGCGTTTTCTAATCTGGTTCTGGGAACTTGAATCTATCAGTGGAAAGGTGGGATCATGCTGGATCACATTTTTCAACAAAACAAAACAGAATAATGAATTTACATTCTTTTATAAGTAGAACAATAAACATTAAGCACAAAAGATTACACCTGTGATATAAAAGGAAATAAACCAGACTTGAGATTTAAAAGATTTAAATCTGAGTATCAGCTCAGCTTGAGTCATTGCTTACTTGAATCATCTAGTTTCTTTGAAAGTTTTCTGATCAGTATAATAGGGACATTAATACCTCCTATATTAAATAAGAAAATGTATACAAAAGGATTCTGTAAACTACTAAGTGCTATACAAATGTGGGGTTAAAAGACTAAAATTAGCAAATATTTTTATAATATTATAAAATATATTATGGAAAGTTTTGCTTCTAAAAATGGCAGACAATAGAAATCAAACCACATAAAAATAAAATAAAGGTTATTGTGTCCACCTACAACTAAAACAAATATTAAAAAAAAAAGGTTATCAGAGCTCAATCAAATTGGTTTTATTATAAGACTGTAAGGTTGATTTAATAGTAAAAATAAATGCAATTAATTATAATAAAAATCTCTCAAATGATCATCTTAAAAGGCACATGAAATTAACCTATTAAAATCCAACATCCATTTGTGATAATAATTAGTGAATTAGAAATAGAAGGAAACATCTATGAGCAGATAAAGAGGAATCTATAAGAAAGTTTAAAACAAACATACTTAGTGGTAAAAATTTAAAGTGTTGCTTCTGAGACAGAGAAGAGACAAGGAAACCCAATGTTCTGGATGTCTAAGCCAGCAAAATAAGATACAGAAATACCAGGTTTTGTGTACAATGTGTCAAAATGCATTCTACTGTCATGTATAACTAGTTGGGAAAAATTTTTAAAAATTTTAAAAATGTGCTAAAGAGAAAAAAAAAGAAAGAAATACTGGGAATAAGGGCTAGAATGCAGGAGGGAAAAAAGTACTGGGGATTGAACCTAGGGCTTCATGTATGGTATGAAAGCACTGTATTACTGAACTACATTCCAGCACTACAGATAAGTTATTAGAACTACTAATTATTATAAGTTATTAGAACTCATAATTTAAGTAGTCTAGCAAAGTTACTGGCTATAGGGTCAATACATGAAAATTGATTTTCTACATAAAAGTCAGGAAAAAAAACTTTAAAAAAATATATTTTTTGCTTGTAGATGGACACAACACCTTCATTTTATTTACTTTTATGTGGCACTGAGACTCAAATCCAGGCCCTCACACATGCTAGGCAAGCACTCTAGGCAAGCAACAACTCAGCCCTTGGGAAAAAAWTTTTTTTAATGATACCATTTACAATAGCTTATAGGAACCAGATACTTAGGAATAAATGAAATGCAACCTGTTTAAGACCCCTGTGCAAAAATCTATGATTACTGAACAATGTTAAAGCAGATTTAAAAAAATTTTCTTTAGTTGTAGTTGGACACAATACCTTTATTTTACTTATTTATTTTTATGTGGTGCTGAGGATCGAACCTAGTACCTCACATGTGCTAGGYGAGTGCTCTACTGCTGAGCCACAACCCCAAGCCCATTAAAGCAGATTTTTAAAAAAGGAAAGTCATACTACATTCACAAGTTGAAGTCTATAATGTAAAGATGTCAATTCTCTTCAAACTGATTTACATACAAATTAGATGTAACCCCGATAAAAGTCCTAACAGTCCCCTTCCCAATCGGTACTATGGTAAACTGATTTTAAAATTTATAAGGAAAGAAAAAGAGAAGAATGGTCAGGGCAAACTTAATAAAGAATTAGATGGAGGGATTTATCATACAGATATCAAAACTTATTATACAGCTAACCTAATTAGCATGGTATTAGCTCAAGAAGAGAAACAGACCAATTTACCCACACATTTTAGAAACATTTTATTTTTGACAAGGTTCAAACTATAGCTGTAGAGAAGTGAGAACTCATTTCTTTAAAAACATTTTTTTTTTTTTTGGTTGTAGGTGGACACATGGCTCTATTTTATTTTTATGTGGTGCTGAGAATTGAACCCAGTGCCTGATATGTGAGAGGCAAACACTCTACCACTGAACTACAACCCCAGCCCAGGAGACTCATTTTAATACATGCTACTGAATAAACTGGATATCCAAATGGGGAAAAAATGACATCTGATCCATACTTCTTAGTACAAAAACAAAGAAACAAACTCATTTCCAGATGAATTGCAGATCTAAATATAAAATGAAAAACAATAAAGCATCTAGAAGATAAACAATCTGGACTAAGATTTCATAAAGATGTTACTACTGAGGGGGCTAGGGTTGTGGCTCAACAGTAGAGCATTCACCTAGCAATTAAGAAAAAAAAATTTTAAAAAGATGTTACTACAGGGAACAATTAAAAAACTGGAGTCAAGAAATTGAAAGGGCAAGTTTCAGAGTGAAAAATATTTGTAATACACATAACTGATAAAGAAGTCCTACAAATCAATTTTTAAAAACTGAGACACTTTAATAGGTAAATGGAAAAAAGACTTCAACAGGTACTTCACAAACAACTCTCCAAATGGTCAAGCAATGAACATGAAAGTATTTGATTCGTTAATCAAATAAATGTACTATAACCATCAAGCGATAGTATGAGAATGGCTAAAAATAACAACAGCAAAGAAAAAAAGTAAAGGAACCCTCAAACAGCAGTAAATCAGTTTGAAAAACTGTCATTATCTAATGTAATTGCATATGTACATATTCTATGATCTAGTGACACATATCCTTCAGAACTGCATGCACATTAGAAGACATATATAAGAAATTTCATTACAGCACATTTCATAATAGTCCCAAACTAGAAACAGCCAAAATTTCCATTGATATAAAAAAAATTGTGGTAGTCCCCCTTATCCATGATGTCAGTTACCTGTGATCATTCATGGTCTAAAAATATTAAATGGAAATTTTCAGAAATAAAGAAATGGTAAGTTTTAAATTGTGCACTGTTCTAAGTAGTATGATTCTGCTCTATTCAGCATAGGATGTGAATTATCCCCCTTTCTGGCATATCCAGATTATATATGCTACCCTAGCCTCGTAGTCACTTGGTAGCCTCTTGGTTATGAAATCAACTGTGGTGGTACTGCAGTGTTGTCATCAAGTAACCATTATTTTACTTAATAATGATCCYAAAGTATAAGAGTAGTAACACTAGCAATTCAGTTTAAGACAGAGAGAAACTGCAAAGTACTTTTAAGTGAAAAGGTGAAAATTCTCAACTTAAAAAAWAATTACTCTGTGCTGAAATTGCTAAGATCTATAATAAGAACAAATCTTATTTGCAAAATTACAAATAAAAAATGGAATTCACACTAGTTTTGCTGTCATACCACAAACTGCAAAAGGTACAGCCACAGAGCATATAACTGCTTAGTTAAGATGGAAAAGGCTTGTGATTAGAAGAAATAAACAGAAAATGTGTTCTTACTGAGAGCAATTTATTGTGCTATAGAGTATGCAGCCTATTCGATGATTTCAGCAAGGGATCTCCTAAAACAAATGAGACCAAGCCATTTACTATAAATAAAGGCTAGACAGATTCAAGAATAATTTGGATTAACAAATATAAAAGTTACTGGAGAGGGTGCATCTGTCAATGAAGAAATCTGCTGCCACATTTCCAGCAGAGCTGAAATCACCTTTGTGATCCTATTAAAAGCAAGTTTTAAATTGTTATGAAACAGGCCTCTTTTGAAAAAAGATGCCCAACAGAATCTACATTCATAAAAGCGCACAAGTCGCACCAGTGCATAAAACATGGAAGGACAAATAACTCTGGCACTATGTGGCAATGCTGCAGGGCATATAATAAAGCCAGGTTCAACGTATACAGCCAAGAACCTACCTACTCTCAAAAAGAAAGCAAAAGTTATCTGTCCTTGTTCTTGCAGCATAATCAGAAAGCATGGGTAGCAGACATCTTGTTTATGGGATGGTTTCAGTGACACTTCATCTTAGAAGTTTAAAAAAAAAGCTTGGAAAAGAACAGGTTGGAATTTTAAAATCCTATAAATAAAAGACAATGCACCTGATAATTCTGAATTTGTTTGCCATGGAAATGGAAATGTCACAGTTGTGTTTTTACCTCACTGTTTCAGGGCCTTCACTAAGGCATTATTTGGTTTCCCAAGGCCACAAACCCCCATCTGGTATTTGATCAGCAATTGATGCAGACTTTACTTTAGACATACTACAGTCCTGAGAATCATTTGCTATTGCTGATATTACAACATTCATCAAAGCTGTAATAAATGAGTAAAAGCCAGAAACTACCCGTTTGCTGGAAGAAATGATAGAGTGAAATTGTAAATGATTTTAAAGGCTTTTCAGGGATTGATGAAGAAGTTAGGAAAAGCATTCATGTGGTAAAGACAAGTTGGTGGAGAAGGATTTGTCAATGTGTTTGGTGAAAAAGTGGAAACAGTGAAGACTACGAAGAAGTATTAACAAATGAGGAAGAACCTGTTGAATCATCTACAAGAGGAAGAGGACGATGATGAAATGGAAGCAGAATCATCAATATGGCCATTACTGAAATTTGCTCAAGTGTTTCAAATTGCACAAACATTAAAGGACAAAATTAGGGATTATGATCCTTGGATGGATCACAGCATTAAAGTCACCTTTCTAAAGGACTGCAACCTCTGCAGTCACACTTTGACATAATTATGACTTGATGATCCATGATTACCCAAAACAGATGATTCTTTTGACATATTGTCAGAAGGTCAAATGTGTCTAGCACTAGTTCACTTCATCTCATCACATGGGCACTGTTATCATCTCTCAACATTACAAGAAAGGTAGTACGGTACAAGATACTTTGAGAGAGACTACATTCAAATGACTTTTATTACAACTTTATAACTTTTTTATAATATAGTGTTTATGTTGTTTATAACTTTTTATTATAACTCTTATATTATTATAATTCTTTTATTTTATTGTTAGTTATTGTTGTTAATCTCTTCATGTGACAATTAGACTTTTTTGTTTGTTTTTGTGGTGGTGGGGATTGAATCCAATGCATTGTACATGCTAGGCAAGACCTCTACCACCGAGCCACATTCCCCCAATTAGACATTCTCATAAGTATGTATGTTTAGGAAAAAACATAGTGAATATAATATTTGGTTTCTGGCAACCACTGAAGGATGGGGGCGGGACTGAACACTGGATTTATATAACAGAGTACTATACAGCAATGAAAGAATGATCTACAGCTATGTGCAACAACATAAGTTGAATCACAATCATAATATTTTATAAAGTAAATGGGATACCAAGAAATACACATACTGTTCAAAAACTGGCAAAACTAATCTATGCTATAATAGCAACTACTAATTTTATAAAGAGGTAAGATTTGGAGCAGACATAAATGGGGTATCTAGTTTACTTATAATGAATTTGGTCTGTGTAGTGACTTCATGCATGTGTTCACATGTGAATAAATATTCCATAAGCTGTACAATTACTGTTTGCATTATAGGTCAATGAAAGTTTAAAAATGTTATGCAATAGAGGAAAATGCGAACCTTTCAGGTATCAGGTTTTTCTTTTTAAGGCTTACAAGCACAAAAATGATAAAACAAGTGATATACAACTTAAGAAAGACCAATACTTCTCTCAGTTTAATAAAAGTTTTTGATGCTGCCCAATAATACAGTTGATGCGCTTTCAAGTATGGTGCTAGACTAGGAGAAACATTTACAGAAAGAAATTTCTAAATTTTTACTATATTCCCATTTCTGCCCTCTTCCAAATATCCAAAAGTATTTTTAAAAAATATTATTTTTTAGTTGTAGCTGGACACAACTCCTTTATTTCACTTGTTTATTTTTGTATGTGGTGCTGAGGATCGAACCCAGGGTCTCGCACATGCGAGGCGAGCGCTCTACCGCTGAGCCACAACCGCAGCCCCTCCAAAAGTATTTTTAAACTTAGAGCTATATTTGCTCAGAAATCTTTAGTAACAAAGTTTGTGGTAAAAACATTACCTACTCCTCTTTATGCCAAATGACTTAATTTCTTAAACAAGACCTATGAACCAAAAATGGGTAACAGAAATACTAAAAGGTTCTTCCTAAACCTCGATAGATATATTCAATCTCTCTATATATCTATTTACTATGTACCAACTATATGTCACACACTGAGATAAATGTTTTACATACATTCCCTTTAAAACAACTGAGCAAGGGAAGTTATTATTAGTCCTATTTACAGATGAGCAAACAGACTCAAAAACTAAGTTTTTATAAAACTAGTAAATGACATAGCAGATATTCAAATCTAGGTCTTTCTGAATGTACTCTTCCCATTTTCCATATCCATTATTTTCCAAGAAGTCCCTTTATTATATTATTTTCATCTATAATATTTTAAATGGTGTGCTTGCCAAATATTTTATTATTCAACAACTAAGTTTATGCTACTGCATACAGTCTCAATGTAAATAAAACACAAATACCACATGGAGAGATCTCCAACACCACACACTAACAAAGAAAAAAGCTTCTTCAGAGGGTCTACTTAAAAAAAGAAATGGGCTTTTTTGTTGTTATCATTGTGAACTTTGGGCCTCATGCATGCTAGGCATGCCCTTCCACTGAACTAAATCCCCAGTTTGAAGAACCAGGTTTAAAAGAAAACTTTGTTTCACCTTTCTAGGCTCATTTTACATTATAGAGAAATATTACACAATTTATGAAAATTTATTAGGAGGAAACCAACTTATTTGTAAAATTGTAATGCCAATAGTAGAGAATGCATTTTAAAACAGAAGACAGACGCACTAAAGAAACTTTTAGTGGGCTGGGGATATAGTTCAATGGTTAAAACACTTGTTTAACATATGTAAGGCCCTGGGTTAAAAAAAAAAACACCCCAAAATAATACTTATTGAAAATTTAACAAGAACTCTTTAATATTCTTCTTCCTGCTAAGATTCATTATGATGACTTTTCCAAATGTTAGCAGCCTGGAGAAACTCATTATTTTGACACTTATCATTAAGACATACCTCTTCCAAGTCTTGTGATTTGGTGGTTTCTTCATTCAAAACATATCGTCCTCTATAAAATTCCCTGATCCTTAGATTTAATGTTTCAGTTTCTTTTTTCAAGTTCTCATAACTTGGCAGTGGTTTAATGGCTGCATTTGAGCCCCTGAAAGGTAAAGATTCATCTAGGCTATTCTGAGATTCCACCAAAACAGGGGAATGGCTATCTGGGTGAGAGTTTATGTCATCTTCATCAAGTTCTTCATTAACCAGAGAGGCTGGAGAGGGTTTCAGACACACAGAAGCATARTTCTGGCCATACAAAAACTTCAAAGTTTCTTCTGTCTTCCATTCAATCAAAGTCTGTTTTAGAATTTTAAGTAAGTTTGTCTTTGCAACTTCAGGACACATCTGCATGGAACTAGAGGCTGACTTAGAAATTTGGTTTGATTTGGCAAATTTGGTCTTAAAATGCTCAGCACTTTTCTTACTTAKGCCAACAAAAGTTATTTCTGACATGTATTTATTTTCAAAATTTCCTGAAGCTTTTAATCTTTCATGCAAAGGACTATATGAAGAAATCTGAGTATTTACTTTCTGTAAAGGAAATTCACAATCAGCAGCTTTCTCCTGACAATCCAATCTGCAACTGCCTAACTGCTCAGTGACATCTACTACTGTCTGTTCTTTGTCTCTGTGTTTGGAGTTAGCTTTTTCACCAACTTGCTTTTTCATTTTGCTTTTTTGGTGTAATTGTGGCCTTGTACACATTGCATTTGGTTTGTTTCCTGGTAGAATGGAGGAAACAAAGTCTTGCTCATTATCACTGGTACAATCACTACAAGTGCTAGAAGAACTAGATTCATATTGCTCTTCAAAATGACCAGGATTATCAATATCTGATGTTTTAATGGCTTTACTGCATAACTGTACTTCCTCTCCTGAATGGCCACTGTAAAAGGAAAGATAAACAAAATAATTATGACAGGAAAGTCCCATGATACTTTTACTTTGTAACTTTCAAGGTAGCAATTTTTATTCCTCAGGCATAACCTTACAGACACTGATATATTTATTTTAGAAGAAAGCCACATTTCTTTGTATCAATAAGTATTTGATAACAGCTCTCCTTCTACCTTTCTTCCTTTTGGCTGTTCCTCTTAATTTTGAGTTGTTAAAGGAGTCCAGGAAAATGAAAAAAAAAATTTAGTAAATCCATTCTACTGAATTATTTTGATTTTTACTTGATGTTTTTGTGACTGTTTTAGTAACTTTTAAAAAATAAGTTTTTCTGAAAATTTCATTATTGGGTTCTCAAAAAATATAATTACAGGAACTCGGTTAACTCTGATTAAAAAAAAGATGAGTAAATGTTTTCCAATGTTGTTATCATACAGAAAATTACATAAATAAACAAAAGAAAATCATAGCGGACCATAAATCTGAAAAATCAATAATTTCAATATAAGATAAAATTTGAAAATCAAGAGTTACAATGGAATGCTCACAATAAAAGATAATGGTTTTCCTTATTACTGCTTTCCAATTTTCAGATTAGAGTTGAATAAGATAAAGAAATATGGGAAATGTAAAGGCAAAAGAGTAGTTTTGCTAATTCAACTTGAGACAAACAAGGATAGGTAAACAGTTGTTCTCAAGCAAACATACCTATTAGAACTTTTTAACACATTCAGATGAGGAAGTTTTTGGGTTAAGAAACACACCTGGGGGCCTGGGGTTGTAACTCAGTGGTAGAGTGCTTGCTTAGCATGTGTGAGGCACTGTGTTCAATTCTTAGCACTGCATATAAATAAATAAAATAAAGGTCTGTCGATAATTATTAAAAAAAAAAAAAACTTGAAACATACCTTGGAGATGTGTAAAAGAAAAAAAAGCTAAAAGCAAGATTATGGATAGGGGAAAAAATGGCAATTTTTTTCAATATTAGATGTAATGTTTAGGGCTGGGGATGTGGCTCAAGCGGTAATGCGCTCGCCTGGCATTCGAGTGGCGCTGGATTCAATCCTCAGCACCACATAAAATAAAATAAAGATGTTGTGTCTACCAAAAACTGAAAAATAAATATTAAAAAATTCTTTCTTTCTCTCTCTTTAAAAAAAAATAGATGTAATGTTTAGTTAAAATTTAATCTATATAACAAGGGGACCATCTCTTAGATAAGAAAAAAGTATAAGTTTCAAAAAACAGAACAAGTAAAAATCAACTTTCATATTATTTCATACTTTTTTGTGGAATTTTAAGGCAATTAAATTTTTTTTCTATATTAATTTGAAGTTATAAAGACATTCATCAATAAGTATCTTGTGCTCAACACTGTGTAGCTAAGGTTGTGGTTATTAACTAAGAACATTTATGCTGAGAGTTATAGGATATGTTTTGAGAGATGTCCATGGTTGGTCAAGCAATCCTATGAGGAGGGTTTAAGGGGAAAAAAAAAAAATCACAGCCTAGAAGTTATATTAGTGCTTTCAAATAATTAAATAACTGATAATTAATGTCTTGATCCTATAAGATCAAAAAATTCTTTCAACAAATGTAATTGGTACAATCTAGCTGACAAAGAAACCAAGTATCTGAGATGGAGGGTGTGTTTGTGTCATATTTCAACAGGTTCAATTAGACCTCCTCAGTAGGAACAGCTGTACAATAAATCAGAGATCAAACACATCATACACATTATCTTACCATCACTAAATAAAAAAGCTGAACATGTCAAATATTTCTTTGTGTGAGCTAAAATAGGACACTTAAAATGTATCAGCACAGGAAGTCCAAGCACTCATATCACCTGGTTCACTCCTAATGTTTCTATTAACATGAACACTATAGAGAATGTAAGTGATACTGATTCAACCATACCTTTGTCCTTCCTTCAGCAGCTGAAAATCGGGATGCCTATGACAAAAACAGAAAATTGAAGGCATTATTATAGAGTTTATTTTCAAGAGTTTATTATAAGTGCACTAGGTAAAAAATACAATAAGAAGAGTTCATTTAAAGATTCTAAGAAAWAAAAAGGACAAAGTACTATGAAACTCTTCAACAAGAAATCTGAGTTAGTCTCTTATCCAAAATTTTTTTTTTCAGTACTAAGTTCAAATTTCCTTGACTACCTGGACAAAAGCAAATCTCTTAATTCCAGAGTTATCATTGTCTGTACAATTAACACATCATATACTCCTTTATGGTCTACTACCAGAACTATTACCTATGTTTTGCTTTTCATATGTTTAATTCTGATTTCTTAACTAGGCTACAAGTTCCTTGAGGGCAGAGACTATGTTTATAATTCTCCTATATATCCCTTCTATAGTCATTAAGAACAGTGCCTCAATTTCTGAGAAAGCAGTTACATTGTACTATGGATATGAACTATATACATATCCGTAGTGTATATAGTGATTTAACTTTCAGGAAAAAGAAAAAAAGGACTATGCAACACGAGAAATCATATTTGGCTATCACAGTTATTAAAAACGGAGAAAGAAAGCTCTTAATAGGCCAAATATAAAGGAACCAACACAGCAAACAAATTCATGCATGAGGAAAGGAAACATCCATAAAATTACTTATGAAGTGACTCAGAAAACACTGCCTCTTTTCCCATGTATTTTAAAAAATATATATTTTTCAGTTTTTAAATTTTTTTCAGAGAGAGAGAGAGAGAGAGAGAGAGAGAGGGAGAGGGAGGGAGGGAGGGAGGGAATGAGAATTTCTTAATATTTATTATTTTTAGTTTTCGGTGGACACAACATTTTTATTTTATTTTATTTGGTGCTGAGGATCGAACCCAGCGCCCCGCGCATGCCAGGCGAGCGCGTTACCGCTTGAGCCACATCCCCAGCCCCAAGTTTTCAAATTTTCATGTGGTGCTGAGGATTGAACCCAGTGCCTCACACATGCTAAGTGAGAGCTCTACCACTGAGCCACAACCCCAGCCCCCTCCATATTTTTTTATTGATGCTTCATAGTCATACATAATGCCAGGATTCGTTGTTACGTACTTGCACATGCTCACAAAATGATTTGGCTAATATTGTTCCCCAGAATTTCCTCTTTCTCTTTCATCCTCACTCATTCTGGTCCCTTTCCTCTCTTCCACTGATCTCCCTTTGATTTTCAGGAGACCTGACCCTGCACCTTTTCCCTTTTCTTCTCTAGTTTCTACAAATGAGAGAAAACATACAACYCTTGACCTTTTGAGTTTGGCTTATTTTGCTTAACATAATGGTTTTGAGTTCCATCCATTTCCTGCAAATGACATAATTTTATTTTATTTCTTTATGGCTGAATAAAACTCCATTGTATACATATGCCATATTTTCTTTATTCATTCTCTGATGGACAGTTTGGCTATTGTGAATTGTTCTGCTATAAACATGGGTATGCATGTATCACTATATAATATGCTGGCTTTAAGTCTTTAGGATAAAATACCAAGAAATGGTCATATGGGTCATATGTTGTTCCATTCCTAGTCTTTTGAAGAGCCTCCATACTGATTTCCATATTTATTTACAATCCCATGAAGAGTGTAAAAGTGTTCTTTCCCACATCCTCTCCAGCATTTATTCTTATTTGTATTATTTTTAAAAAACACTTTTAAAAATACCTTTAATTTTTTTAAATTTTATTTTTATGTGGTCCAGAGGATCAAACCCAGTGCCTCACACATGCTAGGCAAACACTCTACCACTGGACTACAACCAAAGGCCCCTCATTTGTATTCTTGATGAYTGCCATTCTAACATAAAATCTCAATATAGTTTTGATTTGCATTTTCATAACTGCTAATGATGTTGAACATTTTTTCATATATTTGTCGGCCATTTGTATTTGTTCTGAGAAGTGTCTATTTAGTTCATTTGCCTATTTATTAACTGGGTTATTTGGTTTTTTTTTTTTTTTTGGTGTTAAAAGGTTTTTTGAGTTCTTTATATATTCTAGATATTAATCCTCTCTCAGAAGAGTAGCTAGCAAAGATTTTCTCCCATTCTGTAGGTTCTCTCTTCACATACTTAATTGCTTCTTTTGCTGTGTAGAAGCTTTTTAATTTGATGCTGTTCCATTTATTAATTCTTGGCATTATTTCCTAGGCTTTAGGGGTCCTATTAAGAAAGTCATTGCCTATGCCTATATGTTAGAGTGTTCACTCTATGCTTTCTTCTAGGATATAAAGCCAGGGCCTTATGCATGCTAAGCAAGCTTTCTACCACTGATCAGCATCTCCATCTCCTCAAAGTACTGTCTAAAGACTGCAAAACAGGTTAAAAAAGAAACATCAGGGGTTTAGGGACACACTACAGAGAAGCTAAGAACCTTAGCATAAATCTCACTGAAAGGCTTAAAACAGAAGTGCATTAAAGATAGTGATATTACAAAATTTTCAATTAGAAAATCAAGTTAAATAAACAGATGGAATCAGAACTTTTTTTGGGGGGAAGGCAGAGGTGTAACCAGGGATTGAACTCAACCACTGAACCACATCCCCATCCCTATTTTGTATTTTATTTAAGACAGGGTCTCACTGAGTGCTTAGCATCTCACTTTTTTCTTTTTAGTATTTATTTTTATTTTTAATTTTTTTAAAAGAGAGCGCGCGAGAGAGAGCAAGAGAGAGCAAGAGTGAGAGAGAGAGTTTTTTTTTTTTAATATTTATTTTTTAGTTTTCAGTGGACACAACATCTTTGTTTGTATGTGGTGCTGAGGATCCAACCCGGGCCGCACCCATACCAGGCGAGCACACTACCGCTTGAGCCACATCCCCAGCCCAATATTTATTTTTTAGGTTTAAGTGGACACAATATCTTTTATTTTACATTTATGTGGTGCTGAGAATCGAACCCAGTGCCTCATGCATGCTAGGCAAGTGCTCTACCACTGAACCACAATCCCAGCCCCAGCATCTCACTTTTGCTGAGACTGGCTTTGAGCTTGCCATCCTCCTGCCTCAGCCTCCCAAGTTGCTGGGATTACAGGCACAGAACTCATTTGAATTAGGACATTTTGAGGCTGCCAGTCAGAAATATCAGAGTTGCAATATTTTTCTTCACAGTACCAACAATGTAACTATCACAAAGATAATTCATTCATCTTTTGTTCATTCCCCAAAATAGGCATTGCAGAGAATGGGCTCTCTTTGTCAATCTTCTCATTAGTTGTGAGAAGTACTGTAAATTAAGGGATTCTTCTCACTACATACATCAGGAGGCATACGGGATGAAGCCATTTCTGCTCTGGAGACTTTTTTTTTTTTTTTTTTTTTTTTTGCAGTTCAGGAATTCCTCAGACTACAATTAAAATTAAAACCAATGGGTTGCCTGAAAGTGATTGAGTTTTTCTTTTTCCTTTGCTCCTTAGCCAATAAAATTGGCAGATCTTTCCCCAAATATCCCATTTACCCTGTTAACTGCTTTCTACTCACAGAAATGCCTTAGACTTTGAGGCAACTCAAAGAAAAAAAAAATGACACTGCTTGGATGGTGACTAGCCTTGACTACTACTGGGACCATTTATAACTTTCATTAAGGGTTTTTGGAGCCTAAATATTGTGCTAATATTCAAAACAGAGTGCTTTATTGCCTATTGACTACTTCTTCCCATTTCTATCCCCCATTCTCTTACTCTTTTTATCCCACATTATTATAGCCATTCTCACTGAARTTATTAAGGTTCGGCATCACCAAGCTATCTAGCAAGCACTTAGTCCTATACTGGAGTCTGAGTACCACTGTAGGTAAGAAAATATGTGTAAAAGCCAGGTACAGTGGTGCATGCGTATAATCCCAGGGATTGGGAGGCTGAGGCAGAAAGATTTCAAGTTCAAAGCTATCCTTATCAAGACCCTGCCTCAAAATAAAAAAAATTTAAAAAGGGCTGGGGATGTGACTCAGTGGTTAACTGCCCCTGGGTTCAATTCCTGGTAYGGAAAAGGAAAGAAAAAAGAAAACATACAGTAATATTCAACTGGTTTCTCAAACCTCATAGCTAACTTACAAATAGAGAATTTTTTGAGATGGGGAACTCATTACATTACCCAGGCTGGCTTCAAACTTCTGACCCTCCTGCCTCAGTCTCCCAAACTGCTGCGATTACAGACACAAGTTACCATGCCCAGCACAGAGTATTCACCATTCAAAAAATTCCTTCCAAAATCAAATTCTGAACTATAAGTATAGACTATGTTGGGTATGCTAATAGAAATAGGTTCCTATTCCTAAGGATCTTATGATTTAGTAGGAGAAAATTACATGTTCTAAGAGCTTTACAATTATTAATCTTCATAATAAAGAGGCAGCTAGTACTATCGTCCTCATGTAAGAGAGAAGGAAACTAAGTATAAGAAAGAGTAAGTCATTTGTCCCAAATTACACAGCTATTAAATGATGATGCCAGGAATCAAACTCAGACAGTAGGACTCATAATAATTACACTGTTGACCATAAGTAAAGTTTAGCCTTTCAAGCTGAAAAATTAATAGAAAAGAATTTATCATTTAAATAAAACAGTGGCAGACATGTCCAAGGAATACTGTGGATATTTGATTCCTTAAGTTTTGTGATAGATAAATGTGTGAATATGGCAACTTGTAGGTAAGATAACAATATTGGAATGGTGGTAATTCAAGGAAATAGTATCAACTTACAAGAAGTTTTGGATGGAGTATAAATAATGGCTGTTCAGAGCAATCTATGTCCCTTCCCTAAAGGGCCTGTTTTTCTGTGTTAAAAACTGGATCATGTGTATTTTCATTTTAAACTTTTTGCTAAAATAAACCTTTGTAACAATCAAAAAAAATAACACTTTGATTATATAATTCAAGAGTATGAGAGATATATAAATTACTATAGGAAATTAGAGATGAAGGAAAAACTTCCTGTTGAGCCAATCCAGAA